GCTACAGCAGCGGGGGCGGCGGGAGGCCCAGCAACCGGAGGAAATATCGGCGGACCGGCCGGTACCAGCCAGGCGGGTGCTCATTCGGGCGCCATGACTGGGGCCGAGAATGCGGAAGGCAATCAGGTGGGTCGTCTTAAGTCGACAACCCGAACCAGGTTGAGTTGACTGCGACCTCGAGGAAAAGTGGTTCTGGTGGCGAGACTCGTAGATAAAAACCGGCAGAAGACAAGGGTGGTTCTCGTTAACCTACATGTTGGTTGGCTTTGTGGTAAACCTCTTGTAATTGAAACAATCTAGTGGGGTTCCGAAGAAAACTTGATAACTTTTCGGCCATTGTATGATGGACATCATCAGAGCAGACTATCATTCTTACAAGCAAATTCAAGATAATTACTCAAGAAAACTCTACGTATTACTTTAAATGCTGCATATATTCTCAAACTGTATGCATTTTGATGAAGTGTAAGGTGATTTGGTTAGTTCACGTCATGTATCAATTCATGTGTACATATATGATCGAATCTAGCAGCGTTAGCTCAAAGTAACATCTGTCATAGATTTATAGAGTTTATTGACAATCACCCCTTTCCCCATTTTGTTTTCTATTTTAACCATCACTCCGATTTCCTTATGCCGGACGCACTTCCTATTCGCCTGTAGAGCTGTTTGTCTGTGTGTGACAGTGAAATAATGAATAAATGATACAGAAAGTGTGGTTGCGATTAAAGGCATTATCAAGATAAGACTAGCTGCATCGCCTCTTTGTCTCAGGCGGCCCAACATCCGCTTATTTCTTTAATTTATCAACGCAGGAATCAACAGTATTGCTTTGCTCATAAAAAATCTTTGATTTTTAATACAATTTGATTGTCCTTCTATGAGGGGAGAAAATTGTACCAATTCTGCACTGTCACGGTTCTACTCCCGCTGGGGGTGTTGATAAGACCGATGCGAGATCGAAACTGAGGTCCACTTCAGCGGGGATAAAAACAACTTTTGGGAAAGCAAGGCTATGTGAAATTGAATGTAAAACGTCAGATCTACTCATATCTTTTTGGGAAAATTCTACTACCAGTCCTTCATCATCTTAAACAAAATAGTTTGAATACATCTCATATTACTGATTTACCGGTAGTCTCGAAACTCTAATCACATACTAAAGATTGTACTCTCCTTAAATATTTATTAGGTTTTTTCAATGAGCTATTATTTTTTCGAATATTGTGAATTTGCGTATCACGCCATTTTCATGGGACAAATTGCTCTTACTAATTGCGACCTATCTATATTTATACAGCTTTTAGCGATAGGACGGTGGGTTTTTATGACCCGTAAGCTTCAACTTGATTGTAAGTATGATAATTTTCCCTGACGATATGCGTCATTTGGTGAAAAAAATTTAACACGCTTTCAAAGTAATCGAAGGAGATTGCCACAGAAAAAGTATCAAAGGTATATTTCAGTAAAGCTAACACAAAAATCCGTCATCCTGCTCTGGTGAGATCGACCTCCTAATCTCGTAACAACACGTACGTTCACTCGAAAATGGAGGTGAGCTCAACCAGGAGATTACCCAAACTTTCATCAAACCTTTCTTTACATGTCCTATTCAATAGCCAGAACTAGTTTCCATTCAATTTCCTACCCTCGTTTTTCCTATTCTAAATGATGATGGCTTAGAAGATTCTATTTCCTTTTATCTTACACTTAAGCGTTTAGTCCATATATCTTGCAAAATGTTGATGTCTTGTCTTTATCATGTGTTTAATCACTTTATATTTTTTGGCAGTATGGGTTTCTAGACGGTTCTGATAACTCTTTGTGTTTCTACGGGCTACCACACGAGGCAAAATCCAATAAAATATTATTAAAATTCCTCAAAATAATGTATGGCCGATTGTCTCTTTTTGTGCATGGTATCAATGTCCCACTTCGTCAGTATTTCTTATATCATTTTCAAAATTTGACTGTCCCAGACGCCTTCTTCCATTTCTTTATTTCGTGCCAAATATCTATTTCCCCCCAGCCCCTCGCTCTTTGATTCATCGAGGTCTTTGTTACCTCAAACGAGAGTGACGAATCTTGTCACTTAGTCAACTTCCTAATTTATTAATTTGGAGTTGGTTAACTGTATGAGATATATTCGCCCAATTTTGTTTAAGGTAAAAGAAGAACTTTCCCACAATGATATAAGTTGAGCTGACGTTTCCATTGAATTTCACAAAAGTTGTTCTCATTCCGGCTGGAGTGGACTGCAGTTTCGACCTCGCATTTGTCTTATCAACACCGTCAGCGGGAGTCGAACCGTGACAATTCCGCCAAAAGAATATGATATGTCATAAAGGCATGGCCTTCCTTGAAAATTCACATTTGCCCTGAGACTCAAAAGGCGCTCGTGGCAGTGTAGCCGAGTGGCTATCGTGTCAAGCTCCCA